GTGTGTTGATCCCTTATCTAGTTGCTGGCACAACTGGCATTAGAATTTAGGCTTCTTTACCTCCAATTCTGTACTTTCCTAATTACACCCGAGACTTGCTCTTTCCAAAATTAATTACTGGAAGAGATGGTTTTACCAGTGTTTAATCAACTAGAAATATCTATTACCTGACACTTCTATATATCTATATACAATGGTCATTCATTTCATAGTTATTACCCTGAGACACCTGAATCTAATATCCTGATCTGGAGTCCTCACATTAAGCATGTTCTATATGTAATTTCTTTTGAAAATGCTAAATTGGGTATTGTAGAACATTAATGTTCTCAGGCCAAGCAGCTTGTGGATAAGAGAGGATTCACATTGACATTTACAACCAGATTTGCTGGCTCTTTGCCTCCATCTGCCATGTGAGCCTTCAGACCCATGCAAAGTTCTGTCTACCTAAATGATTCTGAATGTCTCTAGAGGAACTTATGGCTATTCTTCCTACAGGTCTCTGCCAGGAACACTGAGCTGCTCTGCTGGGCAAATACAGTCTGATTTAGTGTGTTGTCCATCTCCATTAACTTCTAAGCTACAAAGTCTTCAATGGGGAGGGAGGATTGGGAGTGGAGGTGCTGAAATAACATGGAGTTCCCTTTGGTATTCACAGCCCTGGATCTCACTGTAATCCCACTCAGTGTTGCACTCAATTTTATTCTTCCCCATTCACCATAGGCCTGTGCTAGTAGTTCTCAAAGTGTAATCCCAAGATTAGCAGCATCAGCAGCACCTGGGAACTTTTAAGAGCTGCAAATCTCATCCCAGGCCTATTAAATCAGAAACTCTGAGGTTGAAGCCCAAGAATCTGTACTTTAATAAGAAATAGTGGTTCTAATACATGGTTAAGTTTGAGAATCAGCAACATAGGGCATTGGATGCAGACCAATACTTTCATCTCCACTTCACCTCTTTCACCTAATGTAGTGGTTTGTATGTAAAAATGATTACAATAAAGCCTTCTACCACAGTATGCATTGCCCTTCACAATGTGACATGGCAGCTCGTCCCTTCAAGAGATGAGGTATTTTCTGCATCCCTTGAATCTGGGTTGACCTTTTAACTTGCTTTGATCAATAGAATGTAGCAGAATTGATGTTGTATAAATTTCAAAGTCTAGGCTTTAAGAGGTCTTGTAGCTTTCACTCTCCCCTTCTTGGAACACTGCCCTGAGAATATGACATAATGAAGCCTAGTATAGCCTTTTGGAGGATGAGAAGCCTTGTGAAGAACCAAGGTTCTCCAACCAACAGCCAGCCATCAGATGTCTGAAAGTCAATTTTAGACCATCTAGCTTCCATTTAGTTTCCAGATAATTGTATTCACATGAATAACACCAAGCAGGACCATCAGAATAACTATCCAGCTGATCACAGTACAAACTGCAGACATATAGAATCATGAACAAGTAAATAACTCTTGTTTTAAGCTGGTAAGTTTTGGAGTTCTCTTTGAAAATCATAGATAACTGATACACCTAGCTGTCAAAGCAACAACAATTGCAAAAGTTCTATTCCAGCATGCTCATTTGCCAGCAAATAGCTGAAGCAGGCCCATCCCATCCTATTATGTAATTTAAGTAGGAAGACACAGGGAGCTTGGTTTAGTGTTAAAAAAGAAAAAAAATGAGCATCTTTGGGTCTAAGTTTCTATACATATAAAAGAAGAATATTCAACCAGATGATAATTTTAATGATTATTCCAAGTTCAGAGTTTTATTGTTCTAAGAAAGTTAAATAGAGTAAACTGATTTCTTCTATTCCTTAAGTAGAAAAAACACAGAGACATATCACTTTTACTCCCTGCATGTCCAAGATAGAGTTAAATTACATCAACTACTGGCTAGCTGCCTCCATATCTGGAATTTCCATTAGGTTCTTGGACAGAGAGATAGTGCATGGCACAGCAACAAAACAAAACACAGATTTTGGAGCCTGACACACTTGGATTGGAATCCTGGCTCTCTTTCTTTCCAGCTGTGTGGCCTTAATCTAGCTATTTCCCCTCTAAACCTTGTATTTCTAATCTTTAAGGAAAACTGTCGATAGCCATGTGTACTTTGCAATTATTTTGAGGATAAAGACATCTATGTACAAGAAGCTACACATGAAAAAGTAGGAATGCAATAAAAAACTTGTTATAATGAATTATAAACTCTATTGTATTAAAATATAGTACATGAAATAATCATACATTAGAAGCATATTACAAATAATATTTCCTTTTATAGTATATTTATTTCAGATTTAACTTCCTATAAGCCAGGAAGTGAATAGAAACAATTATTAATTCTGATGTGTAAACCCGCATGTTAAAGAAAAGAAAAAAAGTCTTATTTGAATAAAAGCAGCTCTGCATCTAACTGATTCCCTATTGATTTCTTTTCATGCAGCATTTGTGTATTTAACACTTGACTTTATGCTCAGTTCTGTGACAGTTTGCTAAAGGGGATGAAAAGTCCCTGTCTTTGAGAAAATTTCTCTCCCTCATTTCTTCTCTGGTTCTGGCCCCGACTCCTCTGTCTCCAATAGCTAAGGGCTGAGGGCATTCCCAGACTCTCCTTCCTGGCAACAATGTGGAGGATGTGGGGAAAAGACAGGAGTGGGAGAGAGTATTGAGGCCCTCACACTGGGGAGAAAGAAGTAGGGCAGTAGCTATGAAAGACAAATATCTCTCACTGTTTCCATAACTCTTCCCTTCATCCTCTTCTCTGGTCTTACTGGTCTCCTTAATGTTCCTCCATCTTGCTTATACTTCAACATCTTTGTTTTGGCTCTTCTGTCTCTGCCTAGAATACTTTCCCCAGATATACACATCAGCTTACATCAGCTTCTGTTCTCTTAATAGAAGAGCTTTCCTGACCACATTATATAGACAATGATACCCTCATCTCTGCTCCCTGCTTTCTTATTCTATACAACTGTGTTTCTCAAACTTCAAAGGGTACAGCAATCACCTGGGGAGTCTATTACGATGCAGATTATGATTCAGTGGGTTTGAGGTAGGGCCTGAGATTGTAACAAATACCCATTTGACATCAATCTGTAGACTGCACTCTATAGCACTTATCATTGAGATAGCATATATATTCTTCTTTATTAGGTCATCGTCTTTCTCTTCCAACTAGAATATAAGTTTCATGAAAGGGAGGACTTTATCTTATTCTATGCTTTATCCTCAGCACTTAGTATGATGCCCAATACATAGAAGTCACTCAATAAATATTTATTAAATGGATAAATTATATATGTTGCTGGAAATCAAAACTGGAACTTTGTACTTTTCTTTAGAAACATTATTGTTACATTTAGTACATTACATGTTAATAGATTTCTGTGCCCTGGTTTTGAAACCTTATCATATGTAAAGTGGCTTACATGGGGGCATAAACCCTTAAGTTCAGACTTCAACAAAATTATAATCATTGGAACACAGTCTCTTCATAAGTTTCAGAGTCTGAAATTAAACATACCAGAGACAGCTAGAGAACAAACACCAATAAATGATAATACAGGGACAAACTATACATATGTGCTGAGGGAACCAAAAATTACAACTCATAAAAAGAAATAAACCTGACATAATTAGTTGAATATAACCCTGATATAGCAATTTTAGTGTCCCAGATTGACAAAAAAAACCCCAAAAACAATGCTTGCACATCTTTTTCAAGTCTCCAATGTCATTAAATCTAACTCTGATGACTGCTCAGAAACCCCAGGAGGGACATGAAATGTACTGTCCCAAGATTGTACAGCCTCTTTTAACCCAAACATTATTTATGCCTTCTATTGAATGATGATTGTGCTACTCTGGCTGTGATCTTTCCAGTTCAGTATATTTCTACTTGATATAAAATAAAAATCAACTTTACCTGAAGAAGCAGTCACTATGCTTTAATGCTTCAATCATTTGATCTTTGAAAAGTAGACAAGTAAAAAAAAACCAAAAAACACCAAAGACATTTTTAGTTCCATCTAATTATAGAATGGTATAGCAAAGAAATTTTCCGGCTTCTTTCCTTAGAGTCAAAGCCAGCCTTACCCTTGTCATGAGAATTTATGCATACCTTCTATCAACTGAATAAGAAGTGAAATAAAATAGACTGAAAATATGCAGTGAAAACAAAAGTTAAAACTATAACTGAATGAAGAAACATTCTTCTCCAAGTCAGCTTGTGGTAGTCACAGTCCATTTTTCTTTTTCATGAACTAAAAATGGCAGAGCTCTTAAAAATTGTTTGCAAATGGGACAGAGAGAGGTGCTAGGTGTGTGTTTTTGTGGTTTCTCTGATTTTTATAGGCAAAGTTGAAGAATACTGTCTAAATGATATAGGATTCATTCAGATGGCAACCTCATGTATTTAGTGTTAGAGGATACTCTGTATTACATGTACTAAAATACATGTACTGAATATATGTATTTAGTGTTAGAGGGCACTTCACCCTGATCCCCTCTTCAGGGACAACACATGCATCCCTGGATGCTGGGAATATTGGTTAATTGCCTTCAACCCCAGAAAACTCCTCCAAGTTGTCCTTCAGCTCTCAGGGGGCAGCCTATGGGCAGTGGCTGGCGCCAACTGTGGAGGCCTCTCTCCCTACAATTCAGGACAGCTCTGCAGAGCCAGCTCAGCTCTAAGGCTCCTGCAGGACTGGCCAAGGCCTCTGTCACAGCCAAATCACATTTCAGACTCTCTCACTGTCTCCCTTGTGCTCCATTCTTCATTTTAGATGAATCTCCAGAAAACACTCCTCCATATACCTTTGTCATGCAACACTTTGAATCAATTTCCAAGGAACTCACTCTAAGACTATTTGCATAGTCAATAACACAAAGCTTTATCACTATCTTCAGAATTGGAACAAATTTGCTCTTTCACCCTGAGATCATTTCACAGCTGTTCTTTTGAATAAACAGCTAAAGCCAATGGGAATGGGATCCAGCATACTTACAGGCTCCAATAGTGGGCAGTCCAGGAGCTAGGTCAGGCCGCTTTGCCCTCAGCTCTTGAAGTAAATGGTTTACCGCCTTCCACTCAGAGCTCAGATCTTCTAACTTCCTCTGTAATAGAAAAGCATACACATTATTTATTTGATTAACACTTTGAAGATAACTTAATTCATGAAGGTATTAATCTATTTTGTGAATATATTATTGGATTTCTATTATATTTTACTTTTAAATTAATTTTTTATGGGTAGAAATCCTTTCAAAGGAATAATAATTATTTTAGCCAACCATCCTACAAATATTTATTGATTGTTTACTGCATGCCAACTTTTCCTTCTGGCACAATTTCACTTAAGGAAGTACAGTGGAAACATTAGTGAAAACAAAATAAACAAACAAAAGTCCCCTCAGAAATTGGCTTGACTTCTTAAAATAGTATCAAGTGTGGCTGCATACTAGAGTTACCCAGATAACTTTTAAAAAGTCTTAATGCCCCGGTTCATCCCAGATCAATTATATCAGAACCTCTTAGAGAGAGGGGCTGTGGTAGATATGGGGCATGACATCCAGAGCCCCCCTCAAGGAAAGACTCTTGTCCTAGATGATGGAAATGATGTCAGTAGACATTCTTCAGGGACTGCCTCAGCTGCAGAGAGCTGCCTTGAGCAAGGGCATGCTCTTCCCTGGGAGAGCCCTCATTCAATGACTGATCAAGATGAGGGTATAAAGGCCTGGCCAACTTGGAGCAGGACAAGTTTGAAGGGCTATTTCAGCTGCAGAACTCCCCCTGGAGTCAGCCAAGTCTGTATATGGCCAGTGGTGTGCTGGTGGATGTTTAACAACTGACTCTCTAGGGGAGAAAAAACATTCTGATTTTAGCGTTTGCCAATTTCTGTGGTGTAAATCATGGTCAATGTTAAATTACCAAGATAACATTAAGTAGCTTACAAAATGCCTGAAAATTTAGCAATAGTCCCTCCTGAGCTGACATAAGCTGGCTCCAACTCACCACTGGGCAGCCATAGGATTAGTTATAGCCAGTAGAATGTGAGCAGAAGTGATGTTTGTCAGTTCTGGGCTGAAGCTTTCAAAAATGGGTGAAGTTGTGAGATTTCTACACACTCTTTCTTTCCCTTTCCATTGACTGGAAGCAGAGGACTCTAAGGTCCTTGAGTAAAAATTCACAACTATGCAGTGGGGGTGGGGAGAGTTAAGTCCTATTGCCCTAGAGAGTGGTTTTCATACTTTAGGATCAACGGAATCACCCAGAGGCCTTGTTAAATACTGATTGCTATGTGGAAGCCCCATGGTTCTGGATTTAATAGGTCTTGGGTGAGGCCCAAGAATTTGCATTTTTAATACCTTTCCAGGTGATGCTGATACTGATAGTCCATGACCAAAGCCTGAGGCATTCATTATACATGATGAGTTACTTAAGCATCTAAGATGAACTAGATATGTACTATTCTTGAAAAAATAACAAAATAGGCCCTCAAATAATTTTCAATAGGATTTAATTCTCTAGGGAAACCCTAGTAGAGAAAAGCTGCCAAAGGCAGAGCCACAGGATCGATAGAACCTAGGTTTCTATAATAACACATTCAGGAAAGCTGCTTGGCCAGGAACACATACACTGGACTGTCATATGAGCAAGAAAATCACTCCTATCAGGTGTTAGGGCACTGAAATTTTCAGCTTGTTAGAACCAGCAGTACATTACTAATACAGTAGCACCACTCTTAAAAGCTTTATGAGTGCCTATGAGGGTTAATAGCATTTTTATACAGCTGTAAATTCCCATGCTTATGCTGTGAGGAATATAAATAATTTTATTGACATTGGATTTGGTTAAAATGAATACATTAACAGAAATTGCATTTCTATTCTGAAGAATCAAAGTTGGAAGAGCCAGAAACTACAAACCCTTTAGAGAGTTATTGAATAAACAGGAATAGTAATGAACCCAACCTAACTAGAATGCTTTATATATGTGGTGTGTGGTGTGGTTTAATACTAATCATTAATCTAATGCTAATCATTTCAATAAAAACGTGCATTCATTTGTTTATCCATTTAGGAAAAAAAAGTTCAGCTGCTACACTGTGCTAGTCTGTATGCCAGTTACTAAGCTTACAAAAATGAAGATAATAACTCTAAGCATTCACAGCCTTGTGGAGAAAACAGACATGTCAATAAATTACAGCAGAGTTTTTAGGGAATAATAATGATTTCAACAAGATACAACAGGGAACAGCTTACTCAGCCTGAAGAGGTCAATAAGTTACTCAAAAAGTTCACACCTGAATCGGTCTTAAAAGATGACTAAGAATTTTTTAGAAAGATGCCATTTGGGTGCCAGGTGAATAAAGGGCATTACAGATAGACAAAAAAGCAGGTGCAAAGCCATCGAAACAAGAGACATGAGTCTTTTCGAGAAAAAATAGACTGGTTATCTGGACTACAGTGTTTATAAGGAACAATACAAAACTTTTAGGCCAGATCCAATGGCAATTTATTAAAGCCTTGTAATGTGAGATTATTAGATTGTCTTCTAAAACCAGAGAATGGATGGAAGTGATTAGAGCAGAGGAGTTATATAATAAGATTTGTGCTTCTTACAGTGTGGGGGCTTTATCAGAGGGGAGTAAAGACATACGTTGGGAGAATAATGTGGTAATTGGAGTGAGAAGTGGTCAGGACTTGGCTGAAGGCTTTGGCCATGTAAACAAAGATAGAAGAGTGTGTGTGTGTGTGTGTGTGTGTGTGTGTGTGTGTGTGTGTGTGTGTTTATTTTCCCATCTGTGGTAGTTGGGATTTTGAGCTGGTAATTGCTGAAAGTGCTGAAGAGAAACTTTCTATCAAGGTGTTTCTTCAAGTCCACCTTATCAGTGTGTGTCTTTCCAGTTAGTTAGACTATGTGCCATTTGGAGGGCAGGTACTGGGTCTTCTATTCCTTATATGGTGTATTCTTCATACCCAATCCAGTGCTTCCTAATGATGGGGGTTCAGTAAATATTTCTGAATTGAATTAAATTATATAAAAATTGCTACTGGAATGAAGGAAAAAAAGAAAGAAAGAATTTGAATTTTTCTCCTCCCAACTTGACTACAATGTGAATTACAAACCATCAAGGACATTTTAGAGGACTTGAAAGAGCCCATGTAGATTTTCCAAGTGTTTAGGCTTTTATAATTCCTGAACCAGACTGTATTTGAAAAATCAATCTCCTAGTAAGAGTCACAAATTCAGGCTCCTATAAGGACTAGGTGGTAATGAACAGAAGAACAAGACTTGCCTAAAGCAGAGAGCTACAACTTCAGTTGCAATTGGTGATTGCTAGCAGAAACATGGGCATAAGTTAAAAAACAAAAAAACAAACAAAAATCTCTGTTGATCATATTCACACATTAGTATATGCAACAGTTAACATGCTGAAACAAAGAAAATCAACAAAGTAGGTGTATGTTTAACAATATGGGTGAATCTTTAAAACACAGTCATGAATTTTCAAAAGATTTATAGCAAAAAGTAGTTTATAAATTTCAAATATACTTATAAATAATATTACATATTTTACAAGGATAAAGCAGGAAAGGAAATGGGAGTAGTATATTATTGTCACATTTAAGAAATTTCATGAATTGGTTAAGCAAAAACATTAATAAAAATATGTAAACTTAAAATTACATAAGCTGTATTAAAAACAATAATATATACTAAAAATTCATCACTTCCTAATTTAACCATCATTTACGTTCTTGAGGTTATGTCTATTGTGTCTGACATCAAGTCAAGAGTAGAGACAAGACTTTTAAGTTTTTCACCCAGAATACATGTTGCTAAACATTTACTAGCATATCAAAGAATATATAACTTTCTATTTATTAGTAAATCAGCATTGAATCCAAAGCCATCAAAAAATGCTTCTGATCAGTGAGGAAAACTACCATTGAAGGTCATAACACATGGATATTTTTCAGTCCAGACACCAGAGCCTAAACACTGAGAATTAAATATTGTAAAAGGCTAGTTAAAAATATATGAAATTTTTTCAAATTTCCAATTCAAAATAGACTAATACTTTTGTAAAATACAATAAAAATTAATGTTGTAATCAAAAAAAATATATGTGAATAATAAAATAATATATTTAAATCTTTTGGTTCCCCTGTGAAGTTTCCATAACTCCACAAAGAGAATACTTAATATTCAACTGGAAGTAAACATGCTGATAACAGAAGAAACAAGAGATAATAGGGAGGAGACAATAAACATAAGAACTTATGTAACTGAGAAATGTGGTAATCTTAGGCATTTAGTGAAGAGATGACAGTTCAACATATAGGGAGACCTCATCATATACCATTTAAATTATAAGAAATATCTTATATGTGATGATGGGGGAGAGAAGAGAGAAAAAAGGAGGGGGGAGAGAGAGAGAGAGGGAGAGACAGGGAGAGAGACAAAGAAAGAGATAGATATGGAGAATACAGATTGATTTAAATACTGCGGGTCTGTCCATCCTTCTACTCAATAGGCATATGGTCTGAGAGTGAGTGGACAAACAGAAATGAAAGTTTGCTTTTCCTACAGTTGACTTAGGTTCCACCTTTTTCTCATGGTTTAATCATCTCACTGAATTGCATTTGATTCTAATATAAAAAGTTATGTATTTATCTTACAGCCTGGCTTCTAAAAGCAAATTAAGCACTTCATCTGGGTCTCAACTGAAGAAAGAATGAGTTGCATTGAACTTCATCATGTTCTACATGTATCACTAAGCAGAGCAAAAATTGATTTGATATCATAATGATGACCCTGAAAATTAAGAAAAGTTTAAACTACATCATTGTAATTTAGAATCAGAAGTCTTGGATTTCTGTCCTAATTCATTACTATTGGTTGTGTGATCCTTTAGCAAATCAGATAGGTTACTCTATTTTATCATCCTTGAAACCTGGATATAATACCACCACCTAACTCACAGTTTTGTTGGAGAAACTAAATGAGATGTTTTATGTGAAAATAATTTTGTGAACTGTGAAGTACTATAAAATTGTTGGTTAGATATTATGCACTGCTTAATGAAGCGAAACAATAGATAGTCAAT